TGCCGATGTAGGTGCGCTATCTGGGCAGCATCTGCATGCAAGACTAAAGATAATTGTTGGTTTGATTGCTGATATTAGCTTGACTGGATTAACACACACAAACACACATCACAAAGAAAGAGTGAAAAGTTTGGTCATGTCTCTAAATATTTGAATCTGAATGTATCTTCTGTCTTTTATAGTCCAGAAGCAGTTATGATCAGGGGGATTATGAGGGTTCAAGGCGTTTAGGGAGGATGGCGCTCTATGTTTCCATCGCATCCATCATCATCGGTATCCTCATCATCACCATCTTCTGCGCTGTGCATTTCAGCACGGTAACATATTTAACATTTTAATATATTTTTCCCATTTTTGATGGCATTTAAATTGGTTAATGAAATGTAAATAAATCAATCAAATACAATGACTGAGGCTGTAATGCTACAGGAACAGATCTGGAAAATCTTTCTCTGATTTCTTTGTGTTTCTGTTTCTTTAGAAGGATGTGTAAGATGACAGTATTTTTGTCGTGCTGTGCTCTGGGTGAAGAATGTCCACTGGGTCGCTCTGTCTGTCGAACTGAACAGAGATTTTAGTAATGAAACCAGGAGCAGGACAGATCCAGCACAGGACATCAGCACTCATCCATCTGCAGTCCAGCTCTGAATGAACATGCTTATATAAAAGAGAGGTAGATGAAAAGTTATGCCATTTTTGTCAAGAATTTTTTTCAGACAATCACAATGTATGCACTTTTAAATCACTGAATAATATGCATCCATGCACATAATGAATATGTAAATAATTTTGTAACCCATGCATGTCTGTTCTTTTTCTTTCTTTTTTTTTTTTTTTGCAATCCTGTATTGAAATGTACAGCTACAACGGTTTCAGGGTTGAATTTCAATGCAAAAATGATTAATAATGACCTTAACTAGTAAATATCATTACAACACATCACACTGTTTACAGCCTTCAAGTCTTAAAAGCTCTTATAAATTCTGTAAAAACTAATCATGGACATACTGAATATGTAAATATTATTAATGTTTGGTACTTAAAGTTTTCCTCTGCCAGTAGATCATGAAAACAATGAAAGGGGTCTTCATTTTTATAACAACCTAAGTTTTTTTTTTTCCTTTTCCTAAATACTGATTCTATGTATTTGAGTTTAAAATTGATTCATGCAGGCTATTTAGTCTAGTATTGTAGAGATGTTTGTGTTTTACTGAATATTTTACAAATGAAAATGACGCTAGTTCGGAATTGCATGTTTTGATGAACTTGTCCTAATTAACTAATAAAGTTCATTTACAAAGCACCATTCATACAAAGCTGAAATATGTAATTTTTGCATCACTAATGCCATTGCATGAAACTGCCATACAACTGTGTGTGGAATAATAATAATAATAATAATAATAATAATAATGCCAATTTCCAAACAAAACAGAAGCAAAAGTGTTGCATGATTTTTGCATCTTTGAACAACTTCCATAAATATGGATTATAAAATGAGATTCACATTGACTTTAAAGTTGATCTAATATCAGACTTATACTTATGTAGGCCAAATCAGATCATTAATGGAAGTGGAAAATGATAGCATTATATTAAGATTAAGGCTATTGACCCTTATGTATTTTTCTATCTCCCCTCAACCCTTTAATCTTGAAGCCAGGTGTATTTGGAGATGTGCATTCAGCCCTCATCTGTGCTATATATAGTGTTGTGTCTCAATCCCGCGGTGGTGTCAGGGGCCTCTCGTTATCCCAGCGCGTTCAGGCCAGCGGGGTCACATGACACGGGATAACTGGTTTAGCACTGCCTGTGCTGAAAAACACAAGGCTGAGTTAGAATGTGAAATGTGTTATGGGACATCAGAGGTGGCTCTGCCCTCACTAGGTCTGTTGTCTCCTTCGGATAAAGAGCTTGTTGTAGGCTATTCCTCATTTATAATTCACTTTGGATAAAAGCTTCTGCTAAATTAAGAAATGTAAATGTAAATATGGATATAAATTGCCTTTACCTGCAGTACAGAGTGTGTTGTTCGCAGACACAAGAACGAGAGAAGACATTTGCCATATTTGTCTCATACAATGGACTGCATGAACTGCTATCGCCTCATCCAGTGTCGTTTGTTTTCAGTCTTAGAAAGTATATATCCCGATAATTGTGAGAGGCCGATGCAAACGATTAGTGCCCCAGCTAACAAGGAACGTTCCCATAACTTTCACTAACCTTCTTTAAAAGTTATGTAAATATTAGGACAAAACGTTCCTAAAATAATGTTTATCGAACGTTCTTATAATGCTATTCATAGTAAATTATGTTCTCGTGACGTTGGGAGAAAATGTTCTTAGAATAATGTTCTTGGAACATCCTGATGTTGTTTGTACTTAAAGGGTTAGTTCACCCAAAAATGAAAATTAGCCCATGAATTACTCACCCTCAAGGCATCCTAGGTGTATATGACTTTCTTCTTTCAGACGAATTCAATCGGAGTTATATTAAAAATTGTCTTTGATCTTCCAAGCTGTTTAATGGCAGTCATCGGGTGTTGCAGTGCATCAGTCCAAAAGAAGTGAAATAAAGCGCATCCATTCATAATAAAAAGTGTCTCCGGGGGCTGAACAAAGGCCTCCTGTAATGAATCGATGCGTTTTTGTAAGAAAAATATCTATATTCAAAACGTAATAATCACTTTAATCTAGCTTGCGCCAACAGTTGTACACAGAAGCAGCTCCAGGCGGATGACGTATGAGGTCAGCGTTGCGCAAAAAAAACACAGCGTTAGCTGTTTTCTGACATTTCTCCACGTTTGGTCTGATTGCTTTTTTGTTAGAATTAGCTTTTGTGGAGCTGAAAAAGCTTTACCAGCTGCTGTTAGTGAATAACTACACCTTTGCCTCGAGGGCAGAGCAACATGAACTAGTTGAACAATCCTGGGGTCAGACGGTCAGCAGGTGTTCTTTAGATGGACAAACGGATGTTTCCTTTTCATCCTTCAGTAAACAGACAGAAAGACACCTGAGAACTTTAGCCAGACCTCTGCCTGCCTGACCATCAAAGTGTTTTTCAAAGGATGTTAGAAAAAATAAATTATTTACGCATCTGGGAGAGAAAAATCGAACAATAAAATATTTTAACAAAAATTACATCCTGATTATCTTTATTAAGCAGTCGTCCATGCATTAAAGCAAAAATGCACTTGAGGTCATGTTATATAGCTCTGTCCAACCCGAAGTGTTTTTCGAATAGCTTTGTCTCCTCCTGGTTGTGATGTATTAATCAACATCCAGTGACGTCAGAGTTGCATTATGTCATTCATAAAATAAAGGCAATTTTAAGGCCTAATTTTTGTAAAAATGACCAATACAAATAATTACAGTCATAAAAGACTGATTGCCTTGATCTTCATCTTCATCGTTCTCCAGAGGAATTATAACAAATGCTGTGAAAATCTGTTAGATTCGGGATGAGCTAAAATATAAAATAAAATTCATTTTTTATTTAACTGTTTTCATGAACCTGTAGCAAGTTCACATTAACTAATCTTATTTTGGCCTAACTAGTGACTAATCATTGAAAAATTGTCATCAATGTTTATTTATTTGCTACAATTTCATTGCAGTATTTTTATTTCAAAAGAAAGTTATAACTGTATTACTGACCTGCAGATGGCATCTAAGCACAAAACACAGATGTCAAGGGCACACTTCCAGCTGAAGCAGGAACAACAGCATTCCTTAAACCAGCCACACTTAGTCCTTCATGAAGCAATAGTTTGGTCTCTCTGATGACAAAGGCATGTGCATTCATGATTGCAATTCTCCCTGCAGATCTCACACGCTTCTCTGCAGCACCCGCAGCTCATTCTTTATAAAGCCTGGAAACCCTGGCATATGAAATAATAGTTAGAAAAATCTAGTCAGTTTTTTTTTTTAATAAAGTTTGTATATGCATTTTCATTCAGTATTATATCTTATACATCATGCTTTTATGACTCATATGATATAGTGGAGCTCAAATTTGAGGAGGAAAAAACAGCTAAACTGCATCCAAATAATCACAATTGAAATGCAAATTATATCCATATTGTGTCCAAAAGTATTGGCAGTACTTTTTTGTTAGTGAAAGGCAGATTAGGTGTGTGTGTGTGTGTGTGTTGATCAGGAGAGATTATCTGTCCATGTATTAGAAGTTTATCTGAGGTCGGGTGACTCTAAATGGGAAACAACACATGCTAGATGTTTTGTTTGTAATGTGTCTTATTTTGGGACACTCTGTTATGTCACTTGTCTTTGTCAAAGACAAATAATTTTAAACATAATTTATGTCATATCTGGACATGGGTCATTAAAGAATATAAAATAAACAAAAAATTTAACCTGCTGAGTTTTTAGACTGAAAATAGGGACATATATTGGCCTACTTATGAAAAAGAAGGGAATGATGCCAATATTTACCTCATGCTGAAACACATGGGGAGAAAGAGAGATTACTGCATTTACGTCATAAAAACAGAATAAGCGCGGAGAATGGCAATCCAGCAAAGCCGCTCTGAAACCAATGAAACAAAGGGCGGGGCGTAAAGCGCAGAAGTTGTCTCTGATTGGTCAGCAACGATAGGCGCTAAATAATTATAATTCTGTTTCACCTCTTTCCCATTGTTTTTAAATAAAATATCCATTAAATATATCAAATGTCACTATTCAGGTGTAAATTAGACACGACGGTAAATTGCACGGTCATTTGTCACAATTATTTATGGTAACTTAAAACTTTAAATTTTTTAAAAATAATTTCAAAAGAATATTCTCGTATCATGTCATATTAATACTTTTAACTTTCCAATTAGTGATACACAATAATTCAACAACACACAAAAAACGTTTGGTTTAATTGTGAAGTTTCGGTTTTATGAGCCATCGAGCGCCCTCTGGAGGAAAAAGAGGAAACGTCCTCTAAATAACAGTGATTAGTGAGTTTTATCCACTCAAACGCACACAACAACAGTGTTGTCAACACACATAGAGGGAAACACGGGCAAAGAGAGAGTCGAGAGGAGCTGAAGTCAGTGCATCTGCTCCTGAACTCCTCTGTCCCATAATCATGGCTCTGTCAGGATCTCAATCACCGGATGATGCTTTGCACGGTAAGACAACCGCATATCTACATAACACTGCTTAATTGTTATAACCTGTCATTATATATATTTATATTATATATAAGCCTATTTATGTTTATATATATATATATATATATATATATATATATATATATAT